ACTCCATACCGCGCCTCCCAAAACGAGGCGCAGGATGCACAATGCTATATGCGCCGTAGTGCAGGGTATAACGATTGCCAACCCAATTATTGAAGATTTATGGTTAAAATTAATAATGAATGACCAATTTAATAATTATGACATAATCAAGAGATAAAATGGTCATTAATTCAGTTATTACGCACTGCAAACTTTGATTTTTAAGTGTGAGAAACGTTCGTAAACTTATTGATTTATTATTATACTAAAATAATTCACCGATGCGGTGTGAGAAAATTTAATTACAATAAATATATATTTCTTCTCCCATAAATATATATTTCACTAATACATATTCATGTAATCATGTCCCAAAATTCATGCATATGAGTGACAAAACAATACGGAGTAATATAAAAATTAAATGCTTTTATTATTACTATTAACCTACATTAAAATGTTAGAAAATATTTTGCAATGAGTGAAATTAAATTAAAAATAATAATAAATTGAAGGAATATTTTGTAATCAAAGTTTGTACGTAAAAGGAAAAAATTAAAGCAAATATAGTAACTTTGAAAAAATATATTGTCATTGTACAATGAAAGAATCAAAATGTACAAGTTATTATCAATGCGCATGATTATACCAACTTATTTTATATTTCCATTAGAATATTATTACTAAATTTAACTCTTATATAATTAATAATAATAGATAACAAATAAAACCTTTATTGGATATAATTCTCTCTCTACCTAGGGTTTTCTAGGGTTTCGGTCGCTCTTTCTACTTGTCTTTTCGGCAGACTAACCGGCTCTTTGTTGCTCACCGGCGAACGAGGGGAGATCAGACTGCAGCTTCGGTGGTCTACTCCGTGACACGTCGTAATTCCGACGCGTAGCAAACGAGATGGCAGAACGAACGACGGTGGCGGGGATCACGGCACGGTGAGCCGACATGGCTTTGGAGGAGGAGGAGGAGGGTTTTGTGCCCCAGGTGGAGGAGGAGGGTGACGTGCAGGTGGCTGGGGAGGCGGAGGCTACGTGGGGGTTGGTTGGTCGTTTCTTGACAAAGAAGCTTGTTAAGCTTGAGTTTATGAGTCAGGTAATGGCATCCGTTTGGCAACCGGTAAGTGGTGTTCAAGCTTCTAAGATACATCTGGGCGTGTTTCTGTTTGTTTTTCATCACATGCATAACGGATGTGCAGCGCGTCTTTGATGAGGGACCATGGTCTTATGATAATAACACGGTTGTCTGTAAGCAAGTTCCTGATGGGGTCCTGCCTATTAATGTTAAGCTGGATACGGTTGACATGTGGGTGCAGATCCATGAGTTGCCCATGGGATATACAACAGAATTGATATAGGAGCAGATTGGAAATTATCTGGGGGTGTTTGTGAAAGAGATGATCGTTTTCAGAATATGCCCTGGAGAACTTTCTACCGAATTAGGGTTTCATTGTCGGTTGATAAACTTTTGAAACGCCGAATGAAGTTTATAAAGTGGGATAAAACAAGTTGTTGGGTATACTTCAAGTATGAGTGTTTGCATACGTATTGTTATTTCTGTGGAATACTTGGCCATGCCTACAAGTTTTGTCGTGGTGCGAGGGATTCAGTGATGCCAGTGGAGGACTATCTGTAAGGTCCTGAATTACGGGCAGGAGGGAACCGGGGGCCAAGGCCGGTTGGCGGCAGTTGGCTACTACCGCCGCCGACATTGGTGCGGGGTGGTGTTTCGGGGGAGGGGAGATCCGAGGCAGGGCAGCACGGTGTTGTGCCGGTAAGTGGGACCGGGGACGAGGCTGGTGTGGTTGCTGTGACCAAACGCCGGCGGGAGGTTTTGGGAAGGGAGGGGGGGGGGGGTGAGGCATGGGATAGATGGAGGTGATATTGTTATGGCAGATTTTTCAAAAAACTTGCAGCAGGCGGGCACTGGTTCCCAGGCCCGCCCAACCCAATGAGTACCCTGAGTTGGAACTGCCGTGGCTTAGGCAATCCACGGACAGTTCGAGAAATTGTGGACATGGTGTCCAGTAAGAAGCCAGACTTTGTATATTTAATGGAGACAATGGTTGGACAGGATCATGAAGAACGCCTCCGTATCAAGATTGGTTTTGAGGGGTTATTTTATGTGGACAATGAGTGGAATGGTGGTGGCTTAGCGTTACTTTGGAGGAAAAACAACACTGCTACCCTCGTGAGTTACTCTAAGAATCATGTGATGTGGAAGTCCGCTTGGATAATGATAAGGTTTGGAGAATGACGTGTTTCTACGGTTTTCCAAAGCGAAATAGAAGAAGGGAATCGTGGGAGCTACTGGGGACGCTAAGTGGGAGATCTTCACTTCCTTAGGTTGTAATAGGAGATTTCGATGATCTCCTATATCAGCACGAGAAGATGGGGGGGGGGGGGTAAGGAACCCGCACCCAAGTAGTCTCCTTCGCGGTTTCGGGGAGGCGGTGGATGGATGTGGATTAGTGCAGATGGCTATGAGGGGCTATCAATTTACCTGGGAGAAGAGTAAAGGCATGAGCAATTGGATTGAGGAAAGGTTGGACAAGGTTTTGGCGACGGCATCATGGGGGGATGTCAATCGCCATGCAGAGGTACAAAACATTTTGACTCGTACATCGGACCACTCGGCCCTTTTCCTCAAGATTAATGCGTTATGCATGCAGAGGGGACGGAGCCAGAGAGGGTTCAAGTTTGAGATGGCCTGATTGCTGGATGATGGGTGCAGGGAGGTGGTTGAGACAACCTGGCAGGACCGACGGACTGAGGGTTTGCTGAATTGTCACCAATATTGTGGACGCAGTCTGATGCGATGGGGTGGATATCGCTTTCACAAATTTGGAGACCGTATTAAGCGATACGTACGAGACAGGAGGCCGTTAGGCATAGTTGCGATCCGGATGCGATAGCTGAGTTTCAGAGTCTCGAGATTTAGTTGTCCCAGCTGGAAGCCTAGGAGGATATGTTCTGGAGGCAGAGAGCAAAGCAACACTGGCTGCGTGGTGCTGATGCTAACACGAAGTTCTATCACAGGTATGCTTCTGCCCGGAAAAAAAAAAAGAATTTTATTGCAAAATTGAAAAATGATGATGAGGATTGGGTGGAGGGGGAGAGTATGAACTCGGTTATTATGAAATATTTTGAAGGAATTTTTGCCACTAGTAATTCTGTATGCAGTGATACGTTATTTGATGATTTTGCTCCCCGTGTTACCCCGATCCATAACACTGCCCTATTGCGCCCCTTTGATATTGATGAGGTAAAAACGGCTGTTTTTTCTATGTTCCCTGATAAAGCCTCGGGACCGGATGGGATGAACCCCAGTTTGTATCAACATTTTTGGGATGTGGTTGGGGTGGATGTGTCTGTTTTTATTGTTAACACTCTGAATTCGCGTGTCCTCCCGCGTGGTTTAAATGATACGAATATAATTCTGATCCCAAAGAAAAATGTGCCTGAGACAGTTGGGGACATGCGACCGATTGCTCTCAGTAATGTGCTCTATAGGATCATGGCCAAGATGATAACCAACAGGATGAAACCACTTATGGAAAATCTAATCTCAAATTCCCAGAGTGCTTTTATTCCAGTTACGTTGATTACTGATAATATTCTGGTAGCCTCGGAAGTTGGTCACTTTTTAAATAGAAAGCAATGTGGTAAAGTGGGATGGGGAGCTTTGAAGTTAGATATGGCGAAGGCATATGACAGAATGGAATGGCCATTTTTGAAAAGAATGTTGGAAATAATGGGGTTTGATAAAGGGTGGATTAATTTTTTTTATGGTATGTGTAACGACTGTGACATATAAGATTGTGGTGAATGGTGTGCCTGGAGGCCAAGTAATATCGACTCGGGGACTCAGGCAGGGCGACCCCCTATCTCCCTATCTGTTTATTATTTGTGCAGAAGGATTATCTTTGTTGTTGCAGAGGGCGCAATTGGCAGGAGCAATTCATGGGTGTAGAGTGGTTAGCGCCCCCCCCCCCCCCACCCCCCGGTGTCACATCTTTTCTTTGCTGATGATAGTTTCTTGTTTTTTAAAGCAAACCTACAAGAGGCCGGTGTGATTAAACAAATGTCTGATGAGGTACGAGAACCTGTCTGGCCAGATGGTTAATTATCATAAATCTAATATTTGTTTCAGCAGGAATACCACGGGGGAAGATAGAGATGTGGTGGCAAGTTGTTTGGGTGTGGACCAGGCGCCAAATTTTGGTAAGTATCTTGGTCTCCCATCTTTCATTGGGAGAAATAAGAAGGCAGTTTTTTCTTATGTGGAGGATAAGATCAGACAGAGAATTGGATTGTGGAACAAGAAACTGTTATCCCAGGCAGGGAATGAGGTACTTTTGAAGAGTGTAGCCCAATCTATGCCTACCTTTCCAATGAGTATTTTTTTTTATTACCTGATTCAGTTTGCTTATCTATTGAGAGGACGATGAACAAATACTGGTGGGGAAAAGGAGTGGAAAGGGGAATCCATTGGAAGGCCTGTGACAAGCTGTGTGTCCCTAAGAAATATGGGGATTGGGTTTTAAAGATCTTCGTTCCTTTAACCTGGCTATGTTAGGGAAACAGGCGTGGAGATTTCTTACTAATCCAACCTCTCTTGCAGCAAGAATTTATAAGGCTCGTTACTACCCGACGACCTCTTTTGTTGATGCAAAGGTTGGAAATTGTCCCAGTTATTGTTGGCGGAGTATAATGGCTGCACATAATATGGTTTGCTCTGGGGTACAGAGAAGGATTGGAAATGGGGAAACAAGTCTTATCTGGGGGCACCCCTGTTTACCTGATGATCCAAGTCCTTTAATACAGACAATAATGCTTGAGGAGCTGCGTGAGGCGAGGGTGATAGGATTGATTGATCAACAAACAAATACATGAGATCCCCATATTTTATGTGATTTGTTTGAACTGGAGGATGTGGCTCGTATATCTAGGATCCCTATTAGTCCGGATTATGAGGACTCGTGATATTGGTATAGGGATCCAAGGGGTATGTATTCTGTTAAGGATGCATATAGGCAGATTGTTGGAGATTTTGTGCATAATCCTGCTACTTTTGATAAATGGATTACATTGTGGAAATTGAAAGTTCCCGCCAAATGGAAAACTTTCTTGTGGAGAGCTTTGTGTGATATTCTCCCTACCACAAACAACCTGATTATAAGAAGAGTGGAAGTGGATCCAACATGCCCTATGTGTGATATATCTCATGAACATGTTATGCATACACATACTACTTGTGACTATTCTAAAATAGTATGGAATATTTCGGGTTTGCCTGTTACAAATATTGTTGCTACTACTTTTCCAGAATGGCTAATGGGTGCGATGATCAACTTAACAGAGGAACAACTTGCCATGATGGTCGGGGTTCTTTACCACTTGTGGAATGCCCGAAACGATGCTGTATGGAGACGAGCCCTGCCGCGACCACCCGCTACGTGGAGGCGAGCCGCGGCTGCCAAGGCTGCGTATAACGAGGCGCACTGCCCTGGCGGATCTCGCACCCCGCTGCTGGCTGCACCATTGCCGCAAGGCCGCCCACGCTGCTTCTTCGATGGAGGATATCGCCCGCACTCGGGCGATGCAACTTATGGTATTGTACTGGTTCACCCGGATGGCTCTTTCAAGGCGGAAACAAATGGCAAACTACCGGGTTGTTTCTGTGAGCATATATCCATTAATGTGTATCCAACTATTAGCTTAGGCTTTTAGTTGAGATGGAGCACATGCTTCAATTTGGTATCAGAGCCAGATCAAAGGTCATGAGTTTGAATCTCAACGCCACTCGTAAGCGACTACGGTTTACCGGTCCACGTGTTGGTTGGAATCCACCATACACGTGAGGGGGCGTGTGAGCATATATCCATTAATGTGTATCCAACTATTAGCTTAGGCTTTTAGTTGAGATGGAGCACATGCTTCAATTGTTTCTCACCCCTTATGGCAGAGGCTCTTGCATGCAAGGAAGCGCTATCATGGCTTTAGGAGCGTAATGAATTGGATGTGGACTTGCTGACTGATTGCGCAGAGCTCCGACATCATTTACTGTCTAGTCCTACGACCATCCTATCCTATGTAAGGGTGGTGGAGGACCAATGCCGGGCAACTATGACCCATTTTTCTTATTGCTCTTTGAATATTATTTCTAGATTAGTTAATGTTAGTGCTCATACTTTAGCTACGTTAGCTTTTAATCAGGAACACTCTATGTACTGGGACTATGTCCCCCCTGATTGTTTGGTTCCTTTCATTAATTAAAATATGCCAAAGCTTTTGGTTTTCAAAAAAAATAAATAAATAAATAAAACCTTTAAATGATTGCTTACATTTTTAATTTTTTTTTTAATAAAGTGATTACTTGTACATTTATCAAAAAATTTATTCCAGCAATGGTCCTCCAACTATGTTGATTTTCTATAATTAGTCATCAACTTTTAATTTGGACAATTTTCACACTCGACTATCAAAATCTTTCCAATGTTAGTCCTTCCGTCACAAACCCGTTAAATGGATGTCAAATAGAAGGGTAAAACAGTCATTTCACCTGCTGGGTGTAATTCCTTGTAGTATGAATGTATGAATATTGAAACTGGTGTGAATAAAGACATTTGTCATCACCTCCATTAAACCTTCATAAACAAAAGAAAAATGGACCCAAATCTCTTCAAGCTTGTTCAAATGAGGCCAAGAGCCGCAATGCCCCACCAAGCAGGCTCCTAGAAGTCGCAGCTGTAACACCCCGAAAATTTGAAACTTTTAAAACTTATATAATAAAGGTGAATTCTCATTAAATCCCAAAATCAAATATAAGAGTACGGGGTGCTATGCCACATCTGAGCTGGAGAACTCAGATGCACAAGCTAACTAACTAAATATCCTCAAAGCAATGTCAATACATAATCATGGCACGCAGGCCGAAAGGGAAACGAACTAATCTACGCTCCAGATCTCTAGCGCGCTCCGGGGTCTACTCATCTGTGCCTGAAAGCCAAATATATCTGTTCAGCGAATGATGTTGGTAACCCCTTCCAACGCGTTGAAATACAATATAGGTAAATATATATATAGATATACGAAAACCATTTTGAAGCAGGAAGATATGTACTTAGGGGACTCTAGCTTTAAAATCAGGGATAGACTCGACAAATAGGGATGAGCATATTCAACAATGATAATCAGTTATATAGAGACAACATCATAAAGAACATGTATCTAAGGTCACAGTTCACTTTCAAATCATTCACATCATCATTCAAGTCCCACAAGCACACTTTGGTGGCGCCACGGGACCAATCGCATGCCCCGAACATGAGGGTTAGTGCATATAGCACTAACACGGCCCCGCAGTACCCTACCTCATACCGCAGCATGAAGGGGTTGATCGCAACCAACCGTATAGACCGTCGATAATTCGACGGCGGATCACAGCCCTACACACCGCTGACGCGCTCAGTCGGTGGACTGCGATCCTCTTGGTGGATCGTAGCGAATCAAGCCCTACACACCGCTGAGAGACTCAATCGGTGGGCGATGATCCTCGGATACTACGACCCTACACACCACTGGCCCTTCACTCGGTGGATTGTAGCCGACCATAGCCCTACACACCGCCTGATCACTCATTCGGTGGGCTATGGCTTTCCTCAGGCTGGTGGCCCTACACACCGCTGACGCGTCCAGTCGGTGGACAATCTGCACATAAGGCCCATGTGGGCTGTAGCCCAAGAAGTGAATCACTGACCGCAGCCAGGAAAATGAACCGCAGCTCATAAGTAACCAATTTGACTGCAACCAACTTTTGAACCGCAGCTCAAGAACACCCAGTTTGATCGCAACCAAATTGGGGAATCATGCATCACATAACACCTTGTAGCACGTAATAGCACATTGGGAAGGGGGAGACATATAAATAAACCTACGTGTGATCATTCACATACTAAGAGTAGTCTTAAGGGGTTCATGCATCCTCATCCTAGGCCAATGGGTTACCGATTCACTAGCATGCAATTCCTAAGACTCTTTTATCCTACGAATGGCACCCGAAACATCAAACTAGACTCAAGCACGACAAACTGGGTCCGTTGGGACACCGTGGGGAATGGGGAACATTAAACGGGGAAGCCGAGGTCCCGGGTGGGTAACAGACCAGCGGCTCCACCCACCGGCTGCCCGCCGACAACGATCCTCCGGGCAGCGGGCCGGCGGGCAGACGTCTGCCCGTTGCCTGGCGGTGATTCTCGTGCAGCGGGTAGGTGGCGGGTTCCCCTACCCCCCACTGACTCTTTCTTCAAATAACGCATCCCGGGATCCCTTGTGGAACCCGGAGCCATGCTTAGACACTTTTAAACGCAAATAACGACGCCACATGAGCAATTAACGGATCAAAAGCAAGAATCATATTGAACATATCCTAATATGACTTCTAAACATAACAACACCGGAACATGCGAATTCCCACCCAAATATGAATCAAGAACATCACAATACAAATTCCCAATCCAACCTAGGGCTCTAATTCCTATCCAAATTACCAAGATCATATTTTATCTCTAACACCAAGAAACGTCAAGATTTATCAAGAATTATCACATAAACATCAAGAACCTCTTTTTAACATCAAGATCATTAAGATCACATATAAAGTTATCACATCAATCAAATAAGATTATATCATGATTATTATAAAGGAATTCATCAAGACACAAGCATATAGAGGGAGCCAAAGAAGGAGACTATAGCAAGGAAAATAGGTTTTGTTGAGACATGGGTTACCTCTTAGCCTTAATTAAATTCCTTGACTATGAATGATCTTTCTTTAAGATTTCTTCTTTCTTGATTTCTCCTATGGGAATTCTTGTGTGGTGTGAGTTCTAGGTGCCTCTTATGTCCCTATTTATATACCTAAGAGTCTTAATTAGGGTCTAAATGGTATGGGCTTGCCACTTCCATTCCTTATAGGATTAAGGGGGTTGGTTTTAGGGATAAGGGTCCATGGAATATGGTGGACCCCCTTTTAGTTAATTAATGGATTTTAATTCTCTTTTTAGGGTGAGTAATTAATTAATTAATTTGGTTTTAGGGGTCGTAACACGGGGTGTTACAGCAGCCGCCCCAGATCCCCTACGGCATCACCCGCCAAGATATCCGAGCTGGGCTTCACCGTGAACACACTGCTGGACAAGAAAGAAGGCGAGATTGACAACATGATGGTCAGCTTGTTCCACATCTTCTGGTGGGACCTGCTGGTCGGCGAGGGCTACGACATCAAAGCCGCCGTCCATGCAGAGAGGCGACACCTCGAAGAGGAGGAGTTGCGGCGGCGCCACCTCTTCTCCGGCGATAACACCAACACCCTCAGCTCGATGCTCTCTCTCAAGGTAGTCTTTACAATAATACTCTGAAACTCTACTCTGATCTCTCTAACAACTGTTTCATTTCGTTCTACATTAGAAAAGCCCTAAATCCACTCTATTTCATTTCGTTCTACATCAGCCTAGCAAAAAGCCCTAAATCCACTCTGTTTCATTTCGTTCTACATCAGCCTAGCAAAAAGCCCTAAATCCACTTTGTGTACGCGTGCAATAGTAAAATCTCCAAATCTCCTCCAGTGTTAGTGCTGGTGTGCTGTGTAGAATGCGATGTTGAGCTGAATCTATGTCGTGGCTGTGTCAAAGATGCTACTCGCAAGATTGTGCAGCAGTGTCCTGATCGCAAAGTGTTCTGACTGCCCAGAAACGCAACCCAGAAACCGACGACCCATTCACTGTCATTGTTCTGTTCAACCTAGAAGCATTGACACTAGCCAATTGAGTAACCCCATTCATCGAACGACAAACAAGGAGCATCGGAGAAGCCATTGAACAAGTAAAATAAAAAGGAAAAAATGCCAGTCTCCACACACGAGTTATCTGGCAAATTGGCGAAATAAAACAAAAAGAAAAATCGGCGAAAGGGATATAGACGGTGAATTAGAGTCTAAATAAGTAAAATGACTATTTTACTCCTCAAACTAACATTCACTTAACATTCAACTAACGGAAGGATTAACATTAGAAAGATTTTAAAAGTCAAGTGTCTAAATTGTCCAAATTAAAAATTGGGGACTATTTGTGGAAAATCAACATAGTCGGAGGACTATTGCTAGAATTAACTTTTTATCAAAATTTAATGTTTAGTACACTTGGTCTGTTCTTTAGTCTTGAGCAACACCCTCTAACATGAAACCTTCTCGCTGCTCCTTTAACACACGGGTCAGTTGTAACAAATGCTCAGTACTAGCTCCTCCTTCCAAGCTAATGCAAGTATACATTTTGGACCACAATTGATTACTAAGATAATTTTTTGTTCAATGCTTTTACATAAGAATTTACGAAACACATTTTACAACACATAAAGCATGTAGGGAAAAAATTAACACTGTCAAATATTAACATGCGCTTTCAAGATCAATAATTCATAGTACAACTAAGATCCTAGTCATATATATATAACAAGGCAAATACAAAATCTTCTATACCATAATCTCATTGCATGACACTGTCCTCTATGCTACCACGAGTAACACAATTACATTATCAATATAAAAGAAGATGACAAGTATTGAAGATGAAGACAATGCCAATGCTACCAAAAAGATAATCACAAAGACTTAGAGAAATTCAAACAAAAAGTAGTATTTATTTAATTAGACTATCATTTTTAGACTTAAGTATTTAGACTAGCGTTTTTACAAAGTTGCAAATATTTATTTTAATGACAATTATAATCAATCTCTCATATATTATCTTGCATTCATATACTTTAAATTACCGATTTAAATAATCAAATTCAACATTCAATTACCTATGCATGAGCATATCATATATAATCTTGCATTGATATAGTTTGAAGTACTTAGCTTATTTAAAAATAAATATTGGGCATTATCCCTGATGTAGTCAATACGGTGGATGGGTATCGTCTATGGATACGGTTTTATGGTCGGTTCTGGGTTCGGATGGGTATCGTCTATGGATACGGTTTTATGGTCGGTTCCGGGTGCGGATCCTTTACCTAGTCTGCTTGTTGGTTTAAGTGCTAGGGTCCGGAATACTTGACCGTGGGTTAGAGTCTCTCCTCAATTAATGCGACATTTATAGGGTTGAAGAGGGAACA